TTTTTAGTCTAGATTGGGCAGATTCTAATCTCAGCCTTCAGTGGAGAGAACAACTCTTATAGTAGTTATAATAGTAATGCTTTGAGGATTATATAGATGTAAGTCATATGTAATTGGTGAATTTTTGTATTTTCAAGTTGTACCATAATTAATTTACCTCTCGGCAAAGCCATCGCACTACGTGGATAGACTGGAATTTGCTTAAGATACACCTGGAAAAGTCAGAGAATTTCATTCTCCTGTTTCAGTGGCAACCCTGTTTTCAGCAAGCTAAAAGTTTATTTTGTGCCACACTGCTGCAGTCAGAATACTTTCCGGCTTTGCAAGAAGTGTTGGTTCAAGACTGTGGGTCATTACAAAAGTTAGATCTAAGGAACTACTGTGCATGTTCTGTACCAAACTGAGTATGAAGTTTTTTGTGTTCTTTAAATTTGTGCAAAAGTGTTGGTTTATGGATTTACTAATGTTGATTCACTGAATTTCATGTTTGGAATCTCGAACTTCCACCAAACTAGTATTATAAGTTCAATTTTACAATGTGCTTGCTAGTTGTTAATAACAGTCCAGTCTAATATGGTTGTTAAAAAGAATTCAATCTTGGACATTCTTTCAAATTTTTTTAAGACATGTTTCCTCCCCTTCTCTTTTTGCCCATGTTCAGGTGACCGTATTATGTCCATTAAAGCAGATGGTTGGATTCTTAAATTTCCAACTGCTCAATTTATGCACTGAAATCGCTTCAATTTTTTTTCCATATTTTAAATTTATATATAGTAGAGAACTGAAATATTCTTTCTAGAAAATACTTTTTATATAGATTTTTATAACGAGAAACTAAGCTGTCAGAAAAATCAGATTGCTGCAATTTAGTCGACGACTAACATCTGTTGGTCATAACCTAAATTAAACATCTAATACTGTATATAATTTATTTCACTGTTGAAAAGGTGGGATGTGCTCCTCAATAAAGGAAGAAAAACACATGCCCGCAAAAATTGCGGAATGATCAAATTTTGCTACATTTGAGTTGCCGTGGAAATCGCCGGACGAGTAGCCAGATTGTTAAGCTCTGAAAATAATCCGCTGCTTGTTCTGTAGAATGCAGTTTGCAAATTTTAATCCTCCCCCCTCTTGTTTCAAAATGCCTGAAAAATTCAGCAATAACAGTTAATTTGTATCCTAGTCTCTGCAGACAAAAGGTGGCTTATTGAGAATCAATCAGGCAGAAGCATTACATTAAACATAACTATATTGTTGTGTCAAACAAAAGTGAAGATGTGTCATGCTTATCCATAGTTTGCTAAATCATGCTGTTTGGCCACAGTTTCACAGTCAGCTAGGTAATACATAAGTAATGAGAAGATTTAATATTTTATATGTCTGATTTTTAACAAATAGCTATTGTGAAGCTTAATTTTATAAAGACATTTACAAATGCTCACATAATTTTGAGTATTTATTGGTTATGTGTCCTAAATAAACTTATAGTTGATATTTCATTCTTATTACAATATGTCATAAGTAAAATGTAAAGAAACTGTAAGAGACTGGCTAACATGCACATACCGTATTTGACGGCATATAAGACGCACTTTTTTCCCTAAATTTGGTCTCAAAAAAGTTACCTGCGTCTTATACGTGAATGACACAGGTTAACTTTCAATACTGAATGCTGTTTTTAGCCTGAATAAAGGTTTAGACCCACATAACTTTTTCTACATCTGTCATAATTATTTTGCGCATGCACGAAATATTCAGCAAAAGCACCAAAGCTCGAAGCTGATGTCGAAGTTTGAACAGGTTCGACAGTCACATTACGTCTGTGGAATCTTTCCTTCTTTACATAGACTTTCTTTGACTCAGCCGACACACGTGTCGGTATCGGTGCTTAAAACTATTTGTTTTAAAAAAATACCCTGGAAATTATGACTACACGAAACAAGAGATTAAGCTATACAATTCAGTATAAACTAGAAGTGTTAAACTACGCCAAAGTGCATGGAAACAGAGCAGCAAAGCATTTCGGTCCATCACCTACTAAAAAAATGATACGTACTTGGCGACTGCAAGAAGATCAACTGAAGACTGCTAAAAAACAAAAACATAACCTTCAATGCCCAGCTCCATCTTGGCCTGAACTTGAAAATGCCGTAAAAATGTGGGTGATAGATAAGAGGAAATCTGGGGTAAATGTTTCAACCAAAATGATAATCAATGAGGCCAAAGGATTTTCAGAAAAACATGGGAATCAGAACTTTTCAGGGTCTGAGGGCTGGTGCTACAGGTTCATGAAAAGGCAAGGCTTATCAATGCGCACAAAAACAACTATTGCACAGAAAATGCCAGCAGATTATGAAGAAAAAAAACTAGCATTTCATAGGTTTGTTATAAATGCACACAAGAAAACTTCTTTTGAGCTAGGTCAAATAGGAAATATGGATGAAATTCCATTCACATTTGATGTACCATCCAATAATTAAAGGGTCTAAATCAATAACCATAAAAACCACAGGTCATGAAAAAACCCGATATACGGTAGTTCTAACATGTTGTGCTGATGGCACAAAACTACCGCCGTTTTTCATATTCAAAAGAAAAACTTCCAACGGGTGTAATTGTTCATGTTCATCCAAAAGGCTAGATGGATGAAGCTTGAATGAAACTGTGGTTACAGAACGTATGGGCGAGGCGACCTGGTGGACTCTTAAGAAATCCCTCTCTTTTGGTTTTGGATCAGTTTAGCGCCCATAGAACTGAAACCATAAAGTATAAGGCAAGAGAATTAAAAACCCAGATAGCTGTCATTCCTGGTGGACTGACTAGCCAATTGCAGCCTTTAGATGTATCGGGTGAATAAGCCATTTAAGGAAAAAGTGCGAGAACGATGGAACAAGTGGATAGGAGAGCCACATCACACCCTCAGGTAGGATGAAGCGGCCCTCTATTTCACAAGTGTGCGAGCGGGTAAAAATATCTTGGGAGAACGTAAAGGCTGAAGTAATTGTTATGTTCTTTAAAAAGTGCGGAATCAGTAATGCTCTTGACGGAACAGAAGACAACGCATTATTTGAAGGTGATACTAGCGAGGGCGGAAACAGTAGTGATGACGATATTCTAATTTTCGATGATGATGATAGTGAAAAGGATTTTTATGGTTTTAAAGTGATTAATGTCTAATTTCATGATAGGCAATGTTTTCCTTGAATCTGTGTTTTTTGTTGTTTCTGCTTTATTTTGTATTATGTTTGATTGCTTGCCGTTCATTCATTTATTCATTATTGAAATTTACATATCATGTTCAAAATAGCGTGCCGTTTGTTAATTTTCCTTAGTAAAAGTATGTTTGGTAATTGCATTCAATGATTGTTTATTTGGCTTTTACGGAACATGAGAACTAAAAGAAACCACATTTTAAGTTGTCGCGCGGACTATTGAAACATTTTTCCTTGTGTGTGGCCTTCTAAATAAGGGTGTGTGTTATATGCTGTCAAATACGGTATTCATTTTCCATTTTTCTGCCTCAGACAATATTTTGCTATATTTTGTTAATAGTACTTTAAATTGGCATTCTTTGATTCATGAATTTTTGCTATAACTATGATTTACAAATTATTGCTATAACAATTTACTTTATGGTATGACTGGGAAAAATTTTCAAGAAGTCATTAGAAGTTAAAAATTTCAGCCAGCATTCATTTTATGGTCATTTGTTGTTGTGACGTATGTTTTGAGAATTTCTTTTGATACTTTCTAGTTGTACGCTCAATCCTCCTGAAAAGTTGACGGTCATTGATGACTAATTATTTCCCAACCTAAAATGCAAAAAACAAGTCATTTTCAAAAATGCCAGTACACTAAGAATTGCATAAAACAGCAACCATTAATAGAATTAAATATGCAGGAAACATCCATTATAAAACTTTAAAAAATCAGATAACTGCTAAAATTTGACATTGTACATGCTTTTTTTTTTTCTCGTATACACAGCAGTCTGTTTTCACTTAAAAAAAAATCGGAGAACAGATTTTAGAATTTCTGAAGTATAACTTTCTGGAATGCAAAACTTTGCATTCTGTGTTATTGAACAAAATATATTTCTGAAGAAATGTAATGATTCCTTTTTCATCAGTCACCAAACTCTTAGAGTCCAATTACAATTCCTTACAAGAGGGGGGAGTATTCAAATGTAATAAGCTAATTCAAATGTAATAAGCTAAGTAAAGCTAATTATAAAAATGACTGCCAAATTTGGAAAACTGAAATCTACATTCATATGCTGCATGCACTTATACCTGGGTTACCACATAAATACATTTTCATGACATTATGGGTTTCCTATCTTGGTGACATAGTATGTTGCCTTGTGAATTTTTTTCAGAGTTGGGTACATAATCAAAAAACGTCTGTCTATAATATGTTTTAAATCATTTTTATATAGTATTTAATTATTATTTATCTAAATAATTTTAAAAATTACCAATATGTTGGAAAAGGAATTTCAAATTTAACTCTGAAGTCTTAAAGACAAATGTATGAAAATTATAAATACAATTAATGCATTGTATACCTTTGGTTTAAAACTCAAAAGGATGCATTTGCAACTTTACTATTAATGCTGTAAAATGGTATGTTATTTACATGCACATGTGCACAAAATGGGAGAGAGAAAATGTGTAAGATAGCTATGGTAAATTAAAGCAGTAAAACATTGAACACTTTAGAAACTGAAATCAAAAGTGTTATTTTTTAGTTTAATTTAGATAAAAAGTTTAAAATTCTATTATTCTGTTACTAATATTACAAAAAATAATAAAGCAAAAGTTTATTTAAAATTTTAGTTTGCATAAATAAAATTGACATTTTGAAACTACTGTTCTTGAAACTCTTTCTGTTTTCCACTTCAAGCTATTACAATCAAATGTACTGCTCTAATCTCTTATCCTTTTTAAAATATGCTGCAATATTTGATTTGCTCACCAATCCATGAAAATTAAGTGGAAAATTCATGAGTTATTTTCAACTAATAATTTCTTGGAGATTGCCTACGAATAGTGCCTACCTAGTGTGTTTTATCCAGAACGAAACCAATGACTAAGGTAAACATTTTTTCTCCTTAAATTTATTAAAATTTTTCTTTAAATATTTACTTTTTATCCAAAAAGTTAGAAGTAATCTAAGCAAGTAAATTTATTCTCTAAAATCTCATGTTTTGCATGCAGATGTATGGAAGTTTTTGTAAATTTATTAAAATGTGATTTTTTTTGGCTGGCTGGAAATTATACTTTTGAAAAATTATGCAAAAATTTTGATGTTATATTTATCAAAGATCTTTCTTATCAACATTGCTGAAATTGTTTTCATAAAATTATATACCTTACTCTGAGATTTGAAAACTAGAAATTGCATATCAAACATCACAATCCCTTTATGTGGGTGCCTGACTATACCTGTAGCGACTTTAAAATCTGTGCTGTTAAAATGCATGTAAATGTGTACAACTGAGGTAACTGCTAAGCATTTTCATTAACTTTTCAAAATTGCTGACACAAGGAATAGTCAGATTTTCATTACCTTCACTTAAGATAATATATTAAAGAGTTTGAAGAGAGAAAATGTGTAACCATTTCTCGAAACACAGAGGTGGCTAAAAAAAGTAGCAGAACTAATGATCTTTTTTTATGAGCTGATATTGTATACTTAATCCTTTTTACAAGAGTCTTCCACAAATTTATAAATAATCAAAGTGTGTATTGATGAGGCATAGCATGTCAAATTTTGAGTGAAATTTTCAAAATTCTGTCTCATTCAACCCATTCATGTATTCTATCAGCAGTACTCAAGCAGGATAAACTGATATCAGTATTTGCAAATTCACAAACGTTACTAAGACAATATGCCTATAGCAAATACAACATTGCATCAGTATACTTCATACTACACTTCTTAAAAAAGTTATTTTTGTTGTTAGCTCTGTATTATCCTCTAACCTGTTGTTCATAAGTTTCTTAAATGGATGTATGATCCAGAGAAATATATCAGGACATATTTACTATTTTATAAATTATATATTTTTTTAATTATGAATAGGGTAATTTTTTTAAATTTTCATTCACAATGTAAATTCAGTTCATAGAATTAAATTTTGGTTTCTATTTATTCTTTTAGTTACTTCAGTGGCCATCAGCTATTTTGGAACGCTTATCCTTTGAAATTCATCCCATAAATTTTCCAAATGGATCTGAAGGAGATGAATGGAAAAAGCTTTTCAAACTTTGTGCATGTCAGCGTCTTTTTTTGCCGGTGTGTATTACATTAAATGATATGTTAATTCTTTTTCACATTCCATTTTATTGCACAAGTTGCTTGCACTTGGGACAAAGATAAGTTTAAAGCTCAGGCAAAGTGATGTGCACTGTGAAAAAAAAAATGGGACAGTTCTATATCTCCCGTTCTACTGTGTCGGTGGACGAAATTCAGCTTGCGTTTTTCATGCCTCGAAAGCGCAACTTAGGATATATATTAGATTGATATATAGCGTTCTTCTAACATAGGTATTTTGATGCAAAATTGGACTTTTTTAAATTAAAAACCAATTTCTTCCTCCATATTTTGATTCTACCACTCAAATTATGCCCATACATTAAATTTTATAATTTTTGGTGGGAAATTTATGGACAAATTTAAAAATTTGTCTTGATCTATTTTTTTCAGTTTGCGCCAAGAACTTGGCAAACTTCTTAATTTATAGCAACCTATTTTCTTTTCCTTTTTTTCATTGTACAGCAACGGGAAAAAAGTCATCTTTCATACTTTCAAATAATTTTGACAAAGTGCTTAAACCACATTTGGCGTTATTATCGCTTTAAACAAATATGCCAAATTTCAGAACATGCTAATATGTAAATTCACATGTATATTAGGAAATTTTGAATAAAAAACGCTTAATTTTTATAGGTATGCTTAGAAGTACATCTGTTTTAGGATGATGGTAAAAATTTTATGGGTAAAGTTTCAAAATTTTTTTCAAAAAATTTATAAAAGTTATTTTTAAAATGAATCATAAAAAACGGGTGAATTTTGTTTGGAAAGAACCTAAATTTTGAATTGCGAAAGAAAGAATAAAAAAAAAGTTTAATAAAAAAAGAGGTATTACAAAATATATACCGAATTCAATTAACATGGAGGAGCTAAAATTTTGAGAACTAATTTTTTAAAAACTGCTTGTTCGATTTTTACGAAACTTGACACTTTGGCATCATTTGAGTTGTAGAATCGAAATATTGAAAAGAATTGGTATGTTATTTCAGAAAAAGTTCGCTTTTGTGTCAAAATACCTATGTAAAAACAGTGCTATATATAAATATAATATACTATATCCTAAATCGCGCTTTTGACTCACGAAAAACGCTATTTGAATTTCGTCAATCAGCCCAGTGGATTGGGTGATACAGAACAGTTCTGTCCCTCTTACTTTTTTTTTTGTTTTTTGCAGTGTACTTCTACAAAGAATGATGTAATAAAAAGGCAAGTTCCCTTCTCCTCTGTCCCAAATAATAAGGCAGGTTTTTCATTGTGAACAGAGATGGCGGGATAAGCCAAGTTATATTGGCAACAAATAATTTAGCAGTGTGTTGTCCAGGATATGGCTTAAAGAGATTTAACTTATAGTGTTCCTCCCTTTTATCTATTAGTTAAGTGTTGAGGAACCTAGTGAACAGCTAAGCGAATAATTGCTTAAGTTCAAAAATAGAAATGTAAACTCAAGAAGGGTTAAATTAGTCTTTTATTGCTCAAGATAAAGGTATACAGTCGGCCCCTTTCTCAGGGCATGCAGCAAAGCCTCTACTCGGGCTTAAACTCAAAATTTTATTAAACAAAAACTAACTAATGACTAACTAAGATTTAGCTGAAGCTAACACAACTCTAAACTAGTTGGCCTCTAAATATAAAATTATCTAGTGAAGCTATCAAGGACACATAATATGACTGAGCATACTAACAGCTTAGAGAGATGTAGCCAAAAAGGTAAACACACACTATTCAGAAACTCTGATTCTCTCTTCCAAAGTCAGTGGAGCTTCGGCTTAAATACTACTCCTTGTTTGCATTTAACACGATTCTAAAAACTCATTCTGGTAAGGAATTGTAAGCTGAAGATAGAAAGGGTGCGTAAACTTAAAAATAACTGTTCTAAACTTAGAATAAACCTTACAAACTATATACATGGAGTATGATAAATTTTTATATAATTATACAAATGTATGACTCTGCTCTCTGTCTACAGATAATATGTTTGTGAAGATCATTGTTATATGAAACTAGGAATAATATAGAACACTCTATATAATGCAATATGTTAGCACATATATATGATAATGTTAAATTCATAAACTATGCAGTTAAGATGTCAAGAATATTAAATAAGGTAATTATTTAGTGTGCAGTATGCAGCATTAGACATTTACAATGTACATGCTATTCCTTTTGTGTGATGAGAAGAAGGAATTCTACTATTCAAGCTTAAACCTCTTGATTAAATACTATATGATTTAAAAAAGTGAAAAAAAAAGTTCTACCTGCAGTTAGCATAATATCCTGTAGTTTTAAGGAATCATAAAACAATTAAAATCATACTTTTTCTTAGGGTGCTACAAAAGCAATGAAATGCTGCTCCAAATCACATACATGTACTTGGGTTTATTGTCTGGATTATTGGGTCATCCATTTAGAAATAACTTTATATAGTTATTTCTAAATCGATGACCAATAAAGGTATTTTTCAGTAAATGGCAACAGGGGTTTATGTTCTAGATTTTTCTCTGATATATGATGAAGCTTTAAACTACTTTTCTTTAACTATGTAACTATATGTAAACTAAAATTCAAATGAGAGAAAGATATGCTTTTCAGTGTTCTCAAATTCTTAACATTGATTACTGTAAGAAGTTTGTACATGGTGAATAAATGTAACGTTAGCACTATAGCATTTCATCAGGTTATGCCCATTGATTGTTCTGTGGTTTACAAATAATTTCCTGTATTCATTTATTTACATTTTTCAAAACTATTTTTGTACCATGTGTGCTAGATGACTGTTTGCTGGGAGACACCAAGTTATATATATTTATATTTACAATAACTTTTTTTTCCCCCTGACTGATATCAAGTGGATTTATAATGTCATTGTTTAGATTTAAATAACATGCCAAATAGCAATTATTGGAGAAGATAAACAACAAGAATGAGCTCAGCATAATGTTTGTAAATTTTTTTCAGGACTAGTTTCAATGGTTTAAATACAGAACCAATCTTTTCAGCTGCCTAAGTGCAAATGAATGAGATAGAATATGGTGATAAGATAAGGAGGACTGAAAAGAAATCAGTCTACCGGTGCCATCTGTTGATGAAACAAGAAAACATAACTTTCTTAACCCCTTACTCGTCGCAAAATTTTGTAAAATTTATTCAAAAATAAATTTTTTATTAATGTTTATGAAATTTAAAATAAATTCATATAAATCACTATATTTTTCCTTAAATTTAAGTTTTTTAAATATGTGAAATTTTTTATTAACTTGCTATATTTTATATTTGGCTTTCTCCTTACACCCAAGCTTAGGCAGAAAAACTTCAATGCAGGCCTTTAAGATCACATGTAAATTTTTGGAGAGAGAGAAATCACATATGTTTAAATAATGCACGCTATTATCTGCAAATGGTGATGCTTTTATTCAATATTAATAATAGCCATAATAGTTTTTCAAAAATTTAATAATTTTTCTATGTATGTGTCCTACGAAAGTATGCACAGTCCTACATTGCAATCTTTACAATAATACCTCGTTTCTCTCCTAATTCGTTTTGCATTTGCATTTTTATTTGATGAACACACTTTATGTTCTCTGGAAGTTTTTTTTTTACCCTGTAGGTGGTATAGCTTCTAAAAAATGACGTTCAAATAAATGATTTGATGGCACTTCACTCGATGGACAACCTCGTCTTGAAAAATTGGGTAAAAGTATGATATTTGTCAATTATTTCATTGATTAAATTCAGTCTAAACTTTAGATGGGACTTTTTCCCCCACCTATTTTTTTATAAACTTAAAAAGTGCTGAGAACTGCTGGGTCTGAAAGATGAAAGAATATTTTTTTATAATATTTTTTCTCACGTCTTCTTGCTCTTTGATAACTAGAAAGGTATTAACACCTCACATTGTTTTATTGTAATCAGTTACTACTTTTGATTTTGTTTGCAATTTTTTTCTTTGGGTCATTTCTTCAACATTTTCACTTCCTTTTTGTCCCTTAACCCCTTCGCGCCAACTGTCACGTATACGTGCCAGCAACGAACACACTTATCTACAGGCTGACACGCAGGCGTGCCAGAGCAATGTTGCGTTTTCTACCGAATGTCACGTATTTGTGCCAGTACCTTGGAACGTTTTTCAAACTATAATTTCTGCTACAAGATGGCACTGTTTGCCCATATGGTTTCAGATACATATACATTAGACATTCTACTCGAAATGAGAGAAGCATGACTCACATACACGTGTATTTTATTATATGAACAAACGGGGAACTAAATGTTACCGAATGGCGTGATTTATGACGTCTCTTTAAATCGCACTTTATTCGCACGTGGTAGTTGTTTATTGTAAGTAGAATTTTTATATGCGCTAAAGCGTTGAGTATTTCGGTTTATAGTTCAGTTTTTAGAAAATAATTAGATCTTGTTAGACGTGAATTCTTTCTGTTTTTACCGTTTCAATGTCGAAGCGTCGAAAATGTTTAACAGAGCATGAAATAGCAGAAATGATGCAAAATATTTCAGATATTGATTCTGAAATTCTGACATTGATTCTGAAAGATTAACTGAAAGACATTTTCCAAAACTTTGTTCAGAAGAGACTGATAAGAAAATGAGACGACGGTGCTTCGTTTGTTCACATTCCCAGAAAAATCCTCCAAAACGGCAAATGAGTTATTACGAGTTCAAGGAATGTAATGTAGGACTGTGTGTAGATCCGTTTTAAAATTTTTCATACGAAAAGAGAATTTTAAGTAATATATTTAGTTTTTAGATGTATAATGTTAAAAGTCATAAAATGATGAGTAATTAAAATAAAATGTGTAAAATATGCATTTAAACAAGAAATAAGGTAATTAAAGTATATATATATAAAAATATCTATAAAGCATAAGCCGTTTAAATACTCTATAGAGCATTATTAAACAATGCGTTGATACTTCGGAAATTTCATGGATTTAGGCTTAGTAGCAAAAAAGCCCCCGGCCCTGGAGAGACGCTCGTGGAAGACACTGCCGGCCTCCACGATAAGCACGCGTTTTCGCTACCCGGCTCGAAGGGGTTAATTTGAGAGTGAGGATTTTTGCCATGTTTAAATGATACAGCTGCATAAGTTTTTATTTTTTTTAAAGGTAAATCTTTTTTTTTTTATCTAACAGTTCCAACCACATCTATTTGATAAGTATATCACATAATTCTGGTGAAGTATAATAATTATCTAAGGTGATGCAGTAGCCTTGTTTCAATAATGGTATCATGAGAGTCATAACAATTCTGAAGGTAACGAGAGAGATCAGAATTTAAGATAAAACAAAGTACCTTTTTCGGTATATATACTAAGTGACCATATATAACGAGATTTAGATTCACTTAGCATGCATGTTTTGATACCAAATTTTGCTTTTTTCAAGGGTATGTGTTGGTGCCAGGATAAACGTCCTTCGTACAACATCAGCATTTCATCTATGGTAATATCTCTTTCTGGAGTAATTGTTTTTTTATATACTTTATTCAGATGCTTATAGATAGACCAGATTTTGTAGAGTTTTGGGTTAGGATGATTTTCTGGATCATAAGAATCGTTCACAAAATGCAAGTATTTTCTTATTTCACAGTATCGATTATATGACATAATCTTGCAGAAAAAAAAAAGTTTCTACTGATGTTTTCTTAGTCTATGCTTTCTTCAGGTTTTTTTATAATACCTTGTAAAACTGAAAGCACAAAGAACAAATGCATTTCATATGCAGATAAGGTTTCCATTCTCTTCTACCTTTCAGTTTCCTTTCACCAACATTACGTGTTTGACCAGCATAATGATTTGTCTGTTTTACAATTAAATCCACTATTTCATCATTTATAAAATTCTCATAATATTGTAAAATACCTGCTCTATGCCTTGAAATATTAACTTTAGGCAATAATTTCAACTGAAAATGTGGAGGGCAAATATCTGGGATATGTGGCATAATTTGGTTCTTTTGGTGTCCTGGTAGAAGTTGCGTGTGATTGTTACTGTTGTCACTATTTTCAGAATCAAAAGCATCTGAAAAAGGATGCCTTCTGAACCACTTCCCAATTCTTCAACTTAAATCCTCTTGTTCACTTGAACTGCTCATTTTACAAACTTCAAGCACGAAAAAGCGATAAGCACTGAAACTGCATCTTTTTAAAATATGTTCTAACAGAAAAAAATATTCTGAATCTACATACTACTTTTATCTAATCAACTTACAAGTACTGTGTTGCTATCTGTGAGCCATCTGTGTAAATAGAATTGATACAGGTGCAATAAAAATTGGTATTCCCGTGACATTGTATTGCAGAAGCAGAGTCTATGTTAGATACGGGCGTGACAAAATTTATTCCCTGTTGGTCGCCCGTATGAGAGATGGGCATGGCAAGTAAGGGGTTGAAGGCTGAGGGTAAACATGTATTGGAATTAAGGTCGTTAACAAGAACGGAAAGACTTTTTTTGAATGTGAAACTCTTCTATAAAATCTAATTCACCAGTGGAAGATATTTTTTGAATAATTTTGGCTGCAGAAAAATAAAAAATATGATTGCAGGAAAGAAACACTGAAAGTGTGATTTTCTGTGTTTCTTTTTTCCTAACATACGTCTCGTGTTCTTTAATGTGAAAGTTTAAGGCTCTTTTAGTGTGACCAATGTAAATTAAACCACAGTGGCAAGGAATCCTTTTATTACCCCAGGAAGACATATCTGGAATAGAGTCCTTTAGTATGGAACTGAGAATTTTATTGACAGAAACAAAAAGCCCTGAAAGTTGAGTTTCTGTAAAATATGTTCAATTGTATAACTAATGAATGGTAAGAAAGGAATGACAACAGAATTCTCATAATCTCCTAAAATGAAAGCATGCCTTTTGATGTGCTGAGATGAGAATTTTTTAACTGCTTGATTTATAATGTTGGGTGGAAAGCCCCTGTCAATAGCAACTGCTTTTAAATAATTTAGTTCTTGATCAAGAGTCAGTTTGGAGGAGCAAACTTGAGAAGTGCATGGAATACAAGGGAATGAAATGAAGCTAACTTCTATTTAGCTGAATGGTATGATTTGACGTGTGGTGAAGGCAAACCGATGAAGGTTTACGATAAAAAGTAGTATTGAAGTTGAATATGTTAGGTGTGACTAAAATGTCAATTAATGGAAGAGAATTGGATGTCTCAAGCTCAAAAGTGAAGTGAGCAGCAGGACATAATTCCATGCACATGTAATTCCAATCCATCTTTACCCTCAGCTTTTAAGGAAATTGTTTGTTTTTTTGTTTCATCAATAGATGGCACCAGTTGCTTGGCTTCTTTCCAGTCATTCATATCTTAACACCATATTTTGTCTCATTCATTTGCACTGAGGCAGCTGAAGAAAATTGTTCTGTATTTAACCAGTCCAGGAAACTAGTCCTGCAAAATTTACAGACATTATGCTGATTCTTGTTTAAATTCTCCAATAATGATGTTGTTGTCAATGTATTTTCTGCTGTTTTGTTTCATCTGTAAATTAATCCATAAATGTTCATTACATTATTTAGGTATATAATTAAAAACAATTCACTTGAATTTTTTTTCTTTTGTATAATTTTCAGTCCATACTTCATCACATTGACTCATTATTATATGTGGATACAGATGTACTTTTTTTACGTCCAGTAGAAGAATTATGGGAGCACTTTTATAAAATGAATAGTAGTCATATTGCTGCTTTGTGCCCAGAGCATGAAGATTTTGCAACTGGGTGGTATAATCGCTTTGCCAGACACCCATTTTATGAGCCTTTAGGTAAGTTCCTTATGAAATATTTACATGGGCAAATAAATAATTTTTATTTCCTTTATAATTATATTTTTGTTTATTGAGTTATATGGTACTGTCAGAAATTTAAAAAAAAACTTGTGAATCTGCACTAATATTGCTCTTTTTTTTTTTTTTCCTGTCAAACATAAAAATTATGCATTTTTTTCTCTTAGCAAGTGATATGTGCAATGAACATGTAAATTTTATTCGTAAGCTGGGGAATTTCTTTTCATGAAATGAAGATTAAGCTCAGAATGATAGTCTTAATAAATTGCTGTACAAGATTAGGGTTCTTTCTAATTATTTGCACTCCCCTGAAAAGTATTCATGAGTTCCTTGTTAATGTTTATTTTTCTACTGAGTATCTTTCTTCTAAGGAACTGTAATGGGACTGTGGTTGTTTTCTGGCTGGTGAAAGTGTTGCATTTTATCCAACAGTAGAGAATACAAAAATTCACACTCCATAAAATTCTGCTTCTTAAGCAATCAAAATTTGTGCACCTGTATGTTTTTTTAAGCAAAAACATATCATTATGTTACATAGGGAAAATCAACAACATAACACAATGAAAAATTTGTGCAATTCTTTGTTGCTTTTTTTAAGTAAAAACATATTGTGTACATGTGGAGAAAAACAGCATGCAAAAAAATTACATAAGGATTTCTAGAAAAAGGTAAGTGTTTTATTACAGATGTTTCTTGTATTTTTAATTATGTTGATTCATTGCTCTTTTATGGTATTTTTATTTTCAAAATGGCTGTTGTGTTTAACATATAAGCTTGGCACAAAAGTTGGTAAATTTTGGAGGGCTTGTACCAGGAAAGAAAGTAAATAGCAGACTATGGGTTTGGTTAAATTTGCGAGTAGTTTGGGTACACAGTGTGTAGAACTCAGTACGCTGAGCTGCGATATCAGGCTGGATATCGAGTCAAACTGAGCTTGGATGACAGATATGAGTACTTCATTCCATGCAGCTTCAACTTTCTGCCAGAGTTTATCAATCGTAGGGATGGTATGCCAGTCTCTAAGCAATCCATGATCAGATGTTCTTGGTGGGTGTGAAATCTGAAGAATGCGCTGGCCAGAGCAGTAGTCCAACACCTTCTGCGTTGAGGAAGATCAGAATTGCATGGGCAACAAGTGATCATTCATTATCTGTTTGAAACAGGCCTACATAACGCAGGCCTTGAAGAGAAGATGCAGCCATGGGCCTTAAAACGTCAGAAAGGTAATTGGGGCTGTCCATATTACCACCTGTGTAAACAAGAGATGACCGGGATGTGTACCAAATGTCACCCCGTACCAGCATACTAGGTAGGGCGGTTATCCAATGACGGCAAATGAAAACTGCCAACGTTCCTTTTTTTCATTGCCTTCACACATAGGTACATGCATCATGTTGCTGTACACAGAACTAGGTTTCGTCTGAAAAGATCACGTAGCATCCTCTATGTTTCCTCTTCATCTTATTTTAATTTTCATAAAATGGCATCACAAAAAGACTGTTTGAAAGATAAATATTCATTTGAATTACATTTGAAAAAAGCCACCTGATATTTGTTCCAATCCTGTTTTCTCATTAATAAAATTGTTTAAAGAACTTTGTTCTTTATAGTATATTAATAATACTTTAGATTTTATGCAACATGACCCAAACGTTATCATATGCACTTTTCTTTCTCTGTGTGTCAATTAAGGAGCATGAGAAGAAACTTATTGGATGCATCTCTCCCTGGTCAATTTGATGAATGACGGCCCCCAATAGTTGTATCTGAAGCATCGCATGTGAGAGATATAGTACGTCAGTTGAGGGATGAACCAGCATAGTAGAGTGGCAAAGTGCATTTTTGAAGTTTTTGAATGCATTGCAAGAATCCTCGGTCCATGTTAGTGGTATTTTACTATTTCTACATCTTCCACCGAGTAGTGAGGTTAGAGGTTGTTGAAGCTTGGCACACTTTGAAATGAAGTGGTGATAAAAATTGATCATCCCTAACAACCTGTGCAAGCTAGTAGCTGATGTGGTTTCGGGTATGTTTTGTATAGCCTCAACTTTCATCGGAAGAGGTGTTATTCCTTCAGGTGTGATTTTATACCCCAAATAATTAAGTTTCGAAGTGCCAAAAATACATTTTGCAGCATTGATGCATAAACCATAGTTGTTTAACCTTTGAAAAACTGTGTGTAAATGCTCACAAGGTGACTCTTCATCTGGAGAAGTGATTAGCATGTCATCTAAATAGCAGAATGTAAAGTCTAGTCCTGATAGTACCATATTCATGAATCGCTGAAATGTCTGTGCCACGTTGCATAAACCAAATGTCATGAATGGAAATTCATACAACCCAAAATTAGTTATAATCGCAGTTTTGGGGGTGTTGCTTTCATGCGCTGGAATTTGTTGATAAGCTGTAATTAAGTTAATGGATGAAAAAATCTTCTTACCATGTAGAATATAGCGACAGTCGGTGAGGAACGGTAGAGGATATCGATCAGGAGTGGTGATATTATTAAAAGCTATGCAATCTCCACATAGCCTCCAATCACCTGATTTCTTTAAGGTGAGATGTCGAAGTGTCACTTGTTTTCACCTTCATTTGCCATTTTTTCTTTTTAATTAAGAAAGCTAACAGACACATGGCTTATCCAGATCCGCACACACAGTGCAAACCTTGGGGGAAAATTTCACCACTGGTCAGTCACAACCACGCCACACACAGTGGAAGGACCGTCATTTTTACACCCCATGTAAAGGATTATGTCTCCTCGTTTTCACTGTGAAGGGAGTGTGTAGTGTCCTCTATGTTTCCTGTTCATCTTAATTTCTGTATGCTTTAATTTTAGTAAAATGGCATCACAAAAAGAGTGTTCAAAGATTAACATTCATTGGAATTTCGGTTTAAAAAGGCCACATGATATTATTCCAATCCTGATTTCCCATTAATAAAATTGTTTAAAGAAGTTTGTTCTCTATAATATAATAATACTTTAGATTTTATGCAATGTTCTTCAATGACTTAGTGCCATTCCTGTGTCCAGTATCATTGTTCGTCATATCATTGTAGGTATTCTTTCACTGCTGCAAACGTTTTTACGCTGTCCATGTAGACATTCGTCATCCTGCATGCAAACCAAGTTCATGACTTGTGTACCTTATGTGGCTGTACTGTCCTTCAAGGCTGAAAGGGCAACATGTATGTCCTCTAAAGCTTTAAGGACCTGTGGCCACTAAGATTCTGAATTGCATTCCCTACCAGCAGTGAAACCCTCCTAAACCCATTGTTTCCATATTCACCTAAAGGGGTTATTACATTTAGCTATTGTCCCCGCTAGATGGGGCTTTTTGTGAGAAATGAGATTCTGGTAGCATTGGTTTAAACGGGAGGGTTCCTAGAAAAAATAGCTCTACTGGAAGTGAAGTCCTGCCTAGCTATGGAAAGGATGTCCAGGCTATGCAGAATATATAAAAACTTTGCTGAAAATGTTTCATCTGCAGCTCTGTTCCACATAGAGATCAACTAATTAGGTGAAAGTTCTGCTTCTGAAGGATCACAGGTAATTTCCAATATGGCGATGGCTAGAGTAGTTAAGATCACAAACGGTAGAAATAGAAGCCAATTTTATTGATGAAATACGTACATAAATTGGAAGATAACAATGTTCAAGACTTAATTTCTATTACTTCCGTTGCATTTTTAAAAGTGCAGGAAGTGGAAAATAATACTGAAGTCCTGTTTGGAAAATATGTAGCTTCCTCCCTTCTAGATACTATGGGCTTGGGCAAAAGAAAGGAGCTAAAAAGTACAGTAATTGATCCTCGAATCAAAGTTTTCATCATAGCTGACTTTTTTTCAAAATATAAAATATGGATTTTTTCGTTGTGTAAATAGAATTGGTTTCTATTTCTAGATATTTTATTCTATGCAAATTTATTTTATGCTTAATTATGCACATGAATAGTAAAATAAGAATTCAACAAGTAATATTACTCTTAGTCTGTATAAGTTTATTTTGTGCATAATTATTATACACATTATTACATTAATAGAAAAATAAGAGTTCAGTGATTAAATAATATTGCATTTCAAGTTTTTATTTTGAGGAATATAAAATGTTCTAAGTCACTGATGACATTTGAGAAACATATATCAACTGGATAATTATCTACAATTACAATTACAATAGAAAAATTACAAAAACTGATTTTCTAGTTCAGTCTCACTTTTTGTTAACATTGATTATATATTTTTATATACATATCCTCATTTACTATTTGAGAAGTGACTTAGAAAACTGATTGATCATTCTGAGTTATTTTTTTTTTTACTATATTACAACATTATGGCATAAATATGAGTACATAATGTAACAATATAACAAGTGAAATAGACATATATGAATCTTGTTAAAAGATTAAGAAAAGTATTACAAAATCAACAAATGCTTAAGGAGTTTTAATCACAAACAGAATCTAATTTTAAAAAGCTCATTATTATTAACTGAATGCTTAAATCAAAAGATTTCTATGTTGCACACATTTTAAGTTTTTCTCTAAGCGATGAAACAAACAAGAAGGAACTTATAAAATTCAGAATATGTGCTATTTTGATATAGTGTAGTATTTATGTGAACTGAAAGTGCTGAAACATAGTAAAACTCATATGTATTTCACTCATATTACATTTAATCTTTCGTAATAATAAACAAATTTAAAATGTCAAAATAAAATACTGGAAGGCTTCCATAAGAGCGATACAGCATGAAATTTGAAAACAAATTCCTCTTTTGCCATTCTGAGTGATAATCAATTACTGTTTGGCATTCAAGTCTGTTTAGCAAGTGAAAATGGTAATCTAACTATGTAGGATTCATGGAAATGCGGGCTCTGAGAAATGTCCCTTTCGAAGTCCAGTCCCACGTAGCAGAAGCATATGTGATAGGGACATTACAATCATGGGATGCCTACTAACACAAGAAGCAATAT